TTTTGAATCTGATTGGTTGAAAGAGTGGTGCGAGTTTTCTGGACCAATAACAGAGCGAAGTAAAGCATTAACAAAACGATAATGGATACTTTCGACATTTACAAGACAAGTGTTTCTATGGCACGATATTTCGTCGATAACTAGGGATTTTCGTGATAATCGTCTCACAGTTTTGAATGCTAGCTATAAAAAGCTGTCCATGGATGGAGATTGGGGAGGAGTTACTGCTTGCACCAGCCTGTCTTGTTGCTAAGTTTTCTACGATTTGTTGGTTTATTCTAAACCAGTGAGATATGTCGCTTGGGATTTCCTCTGCGTTTTGATTGACTTAGACATCGCACTCAGAACTGCTACGCGTTATGGAATAACTTAGATACTACGCCCTGATTGGTTAAAACCCTACTGTTTATTGTACTGGTTAAGCCATCTGCTTTGTTCTAAGTTATACTGTAAAAGCAATAGACCGCAATTTTTATAGGTTTACCGGCGTGAAAACCCACCTGGGATGTTAACGTGTAAGGCTGTCATGTTCGGTTGAAAAGAACGTGTACGTAGAGAAAAGAGCGGCCATTGATGCATACATTGGTGATGAATAATGAAGTGACATATTTCTTTCGTTTTTGCACAAGCTCATTCAGATGATCATCATTTTCTAATTACTCCGGATAGGTGATATAATTTCTTTTTGTGTTGCTTCAAACAGGGGGAATATGGTTGGATTAAACTGGTTTTCAAGGCGGTTTCGTCGCTTCTACAAACCAAGGAAAGGTAAAGATGTTTTGTTCGCGCCATGTCTTTGAGCCATGAACAGGAACCATTTGAATAAGGAGATGATTTAAATGACACCCAGTCGTTTGTTGAAAAAATTTGTTTTAACTTTATCTGAATTTCACGTTGAGATTTCAAATTTTCGATGCAATTCATTTCGACAACATTGGTTAGCGCGTTAACGATCCTTTAGGTGAGTTGGATAATTTTTATCGACACTGTGATGGCAGAATGACTGATTGACTGACTGAATGACTGTGCGACTTGCTTACGGGGTGAATTACACTATCCGCTCCATCATCATCGTAACCATGGTCATTAGTTTATCACGCTCATTACTGTTTTTGTGTTTGATTTCTTTTCTCATACATACCTACATACATAAATGAATTTTATGTATTACTTTCGAGACAGATTAAAAGTTTCCAGCCCACAGGTAACTCGAGTGCTATTCTCTCCAATTCTGGGGAAAGAGTGCCAGCGGTCGAGTTGACAATCAAGAGCTTTGTTTATAAAATTTGTTAGAGACAGAAGATTAGGTGTTACAAGAATGGATCTCAGAAATATTGTGGAAGAGTTTTTGAATGCTACAAAGTGCAAATCTTTGTCTGGAGTCAAACATCAAATTAGCTGCAAGTTCATAGCAGGAGAATTTTAATGGTAAAACAACAGCATAAGTTCATAGAGGAATCACATGCTGGTACTCTCTTCTAATGTGTTACGTTCTACGCAGGTTTTCATGGCAGTTCTTTCCTTAATGGACGTGATAAGAAGGGTATATATTGAAAAATACAAAACTCGTGGTGACACCAGCTCGGCTAGTTCTGTAGACGTCCTCTATGGTAAGTTTTTCTGTCTGTAAACAAGAAACTAGCTCGTTCCAGGTGTTCAGTTAGAAACCATGCGTGGAAGTTAAATTCGAAGCACGATGATATCGACGGAGCGAATGACAGAATGTTTGGGTCGAGTCGAAAAAAACTGAACAAGGGATTGGTAGTAGAGAACACGACCTGGCTCAACCTCCTCGCTGATTTCTACTCGACCCAAACCTCCCTCCTGTTTTCTACCCGATCCAAACCTCCTGTAGCGTTGCAGTCGTGTCTTCCGTTGTAGCTATGTCCTCATACCTAACAACCAACAGAATGTGGTTTTATTTTTTCCAACCAAAGTGCGTTGTGACCGTCTTTTCTGCGTGTCACTTCCCATCTAGGGGAGAGAAGCAATGCAAAAGTGTAAGAAGATCGTAAAGACTTCCTCGCTCGAAGTTTGACAATTTCAAAAGGGGTAAATTCTGTGAAATTGATCCTTTAGGTGGAATAAATCCTACGGAATTACTGCCATTTCTCTCTCCACTTCATGAAATGCCATCGGTGAGTTTTCATCTTAATTCGGAAACGCTGAAGCTTCTCCTGAGTCAGTCATCTTGTTCTCAATTTTTTTTTTTTTTTTTTAATTGAGGAAGACTTTTCGCTTTTACGGCTTCCTCCACATGTAGGTCGTTACAAATTCAGTGTCGGGGGAAAGGTGATGAAATTATAAATGTATATATAAATTTTTTTCAATTAATATCCTTGCTCGCATTTCTGCTTGATGGTCCTTTCCATTTTTTCCTTGTCATTGTTATTGTTTTATTATTATTTTTTGACTCTATTTTATACTGTTTATTAAAATAAAATATTCCATGGCAATTATGCACCCTTGCTAAATGGAGTTTTTGTTGTTGTAAACGATGTCTGAACCAGCGCACTCACGTCCAATGTTTTAACATTTATTTCAGAGAACACGTGCTTCAGTTGTATCAAGGGCAAGCAACATTTTCAAAGGATCTGCTCTTGACACCCGCAGCTTCAGTGGTACGTACTGTGGTTAACTGACGGATAATAGGAA